ATAAAGCCTCACTGACTCTGGAAAGCCTTCCCCAATTATCTCTGCTACAATTGATATTTCTTCCCCTCCTCTCAACAGCTTTTTGCTCAAGAGCTCAGCTCTTGACACACGATAGGGACTTGGGCCCGGGAGAGAGAGAGAGAGAATACAGGTGGTCAGGAAGCCAAGCTAAGACCAGATGGCCAGAAGGAATGCCAGATAAACTGGAGTCAAGAAAGTGACCACCGCTCCACTCCCTACTCAAAAACAGAGGTAGCTGACTTCATCTCCTTTCTAACTGGGGTGGTGATGATGCGTAGTCCATCACCTTGCCCTCACAGCATGGTGAGAACATAGTTAGGAGGCAACACAGCTGCAAAGGGAAGTTACCTGATGCTGAAATGGACAATTCCGCAAGCCTGCTTTTGTCTAAAAAGCCAATTATTTTTTTTTCACACAAACCTGCCTTCTTTCCAGCTTATAAAAGCAGCCAAACAGAGCCAGCCCCCAGCCAGTTCACAGGACTTTCCTCTGTGCTGCCTGCCTTGTGCTCAAGCATAAGCTTAATAAAATCTGTCTGGAAATTTCCCTGAGGTTTCCTCTCTATTTCTACCCAACGTCAGTAACACTTTGACCACTTGGGTTTCTAGTTAGTGATATGTGCATCTACTTCTGCGATTGGGAACTCTGAATGCAGAAACCTGGCCTTATTTATTTTATTTGAGTACTCGTTGTAGTACATAGGTTCTCAGAAGTATTACTTAATAAATAAGAAAGATAACCACTTGCAAAATCTCTTATTATGTTTTTGATACTATTGCTGCAAATCAAAAGGTAAAAGTTAATTATGTACTTCCAGTGTACTTGTACATAGAGTCTATCAAAAGATCCACCTTGTTTCTCTGTCTAATGCTGACATAGGATACGTAAGTCTAATGCATAGACATTTAATATTTTTACATATTCTAGGACATGCCAGACAAAATACAGAGAAATATACTTGAAAGTTTGAAGAAACCTACTAATTATAAATCTCTCTTTTTACCTTTCAGAGCCCAAACCAGTACAAATTGTTATTCCTTATGAAAGTTATAGTACCTCTGTAATCTTATTTGTTCAAACACCTGATATTGGAGTGTTTGATGGCATACAGATTGTAACTGAAGGAGGGCCAAATGTTACCAGGCCTTTAAAACATGACAGTAAAATAACCGTTGACAACTTAACCCCAGGCACAGAATACAATTTCTTTGTTTCCATCATCAGTGGGACTAAATTAAGCGATGTATATTATGTGCCTGCAGTAAAAACATGTAAGTATTTTAGGACTTGCATAAGCTTTATCTTGATTTTGGTTTGTGTCCCATTTCAAATTAGTAGGCTATGCTCACAGTAATGCAATAGTTTTTAAAGATCTTTTAAAATAATTGCAAACACCTTATTACTGATCCCGATCTTTTATTGCCTAGAGTTAACCTTGCATAAAATTGAGGTCATAAAATTTTGAATCTACCCATTATCAAAAATGTGCTTGTAATCAGAACTTTCAATGGCTGAATCCAAAAGTGAGGAATGTGAGTAATTTTAGGCAGATTTTGAGAACTGGGTTACATTTTTTGAAAGTGTCTCTCAGAGTGTAACATCAAGTGTGTTTGCTCTCCCTTATGCTGCCATTCGTCTGGAATGAACTAATGCGTATTTTCCCTACCTCTGAATATTTACAATGAAAATATATTACATTTGTTCATACCAATACTTACATTATGAGGTTCATATTGATTTAGACTCATGTTTTTTTAAGTCACTCAAAAATTCTACAAATCTTGATTTTGACATTTGGGATAAATGTAATTTATCTAAGATATTCATCTAGTATGTGCAGAAATAAATGGTACAGAGTAATAAATGGCATACAAATATCACATGGACTTTTAAAAACATTACAATTTTGACTATACCATGTCCAGGTGCTTTATAATTTGCTCTTTCTGTTTATAAATTTTTTTGCATATATCTTTATACTACCAAGTTTCTTCTTTCTCCCAAATTATAATCCTCCCATGACTGTTTAAACTTAAGTTTTCCATAAAATACTCCCAAACTGATGTCACAAGTCACATTTTTTCAATAGTATTTTAACATATTTATAATAAGCTCAGTACATATTTTATATTTGCTTGTAATTTTTATATACTTTTCATATATATATTCTCTGCCTCTCTTCCTTATATTATAAATCTCATGGGTAGCATTCTCTTTGACAATTCTTGTCTTTGAAAATAATTAGTGCTTGATTATCTAAAAATATCAATATTGTGATATCAAGCAGTAAAATACATCAATATATACAATAGTCTAAAACTGTCAGTTTTTTCAGTTATTTTGCAATCATTGTTGCCTTTATGCTAAATAGGATCCTTTAAATTAGAAAAATAACCATTAAAAACTCTGCAGATAAAAATTTGTTTCTAGGTTCAGCCAATATTTGATACAAAGAGGATTATTTTACTTTGTTTAGACTTCATATTTTTCTCTCTGTTGTCTTTTCAGCTTATGCTAATAGTTTCAGAAAGCTTTAATCTCTTCTTTCTCTTTTGAATGTAGTTTTGCTGCAACATCAAAATTAGCTGCCTGTAATGGTATTTCAATGACTCTGGGTATTGCGACTGATTATCATATTTTATACACTGTCATTGTATGTGTAAACAACTATTTTTAGTTAGTATATAGAGATAGTTGATTAATAAACTTTACTCTTCTTTTTTCACATTGTGCTTCCCTATCCCCCCACCCCTCTTAAAGGGATAAATTAAAAGAAAAACCCAGTTAGAAAACATCCAAGAAGAATTTAAGTGTATTTTGTGTATTTGGTAGGTTTGGAGGCACCATCAATTATCCATGAGGGCAAAGTTACAGACTCTTCCATAGAAATTTTCTGGAATCGAGCTGATGGGAATTTTCAGCATTATGAAATCACATGCATAAACTGTGCTGACATTTTCATGGTACGTTATAAAAGGCTCTTGGAGGAATTAAACTTGAATCTTTCATGCTGTATTCAATATTACTGCATTCTTATATTAGATAGTAGTGAAATTAAATAACCCCCAAGCTTTTTTGCTTATTTAGACTATAGAGCCCTTCTTACATGAAAACTTGCAGATGTATTGTTTTGGGTTGCTAGGTTCAGAAGGTAGTGCAAGAAGCAGCAACATTCTCTAACCTGGAGCCTGCTACCGTGTACACTTTTTCAATTCGCACAGAGAAAGAAGGTTTTAAAGACAGCACTCCTAACATAAAAGAAATACAGACAGGTACAGCCGGGTAAACACTTTCGGTCTTATTCAATGTTCAAATATTTATTTGTGAGTTTTTTGTTTGTTTGCTTGCTTGCTTTTAAGGAAGATTTAGCAAATAGTACATTTTTCCTAGATTTTCTTTATGGCCTGGCAGTGTTTTCTCTTGTCTCCTTTTCTATTTTTTCTTATATGGATTAGCACAACCTTTTTTTGCGTATGTATTGTTAGATAATAGGTTGGCTAATTGTCTGGGTCTGGTCAAATTTTCCATTCTGGATTTAATTTCTTCATTGTTCAGTTAGGTAGACAATGAAGTACCATTTTCCATGTTAGCAACTTACTCCCAGTGGCAGATGGTAACTTATTCCGTGGTTGTCATATGAAATAAAGGATGATTGGGAAGGATATATGTAAAATGTATATTTTCACAACTAGGTGAAGTAAAATTGTCAACTAGTCTGCTGAAATAACTATTTTAGTTATTCTCGACACTGATGCTATATATAAATATTTATATATTTAGAAACTGGTCATGTCTAGTATTCTTTTACTGTAATAACAAGGAATGGAATGGAGAATAGTATCTTGACATTTTGTTCTTATACATGGAAGAATTTTATAGAGGAAAGAAAATATATATTATTTAATTTAACTTTTTTTCTCAGGAAAGAAGAGAAGCATTTCATATTAAGATTGCAATTAACTTTCCAGATGGTTAACCTTGTCACTATTTGGTATTTAATTAGAATGAGTCCTAAAAATCATTAAATATTTCTGAGGGTCGTGGTTGTACAAGACCAAGATATAATCTCTTCCGACATTTTAGAGGCAAGGGAAATATTAAGTACAATGCTAGTGGGATTCACATCGGCTTTATTTTAAAGTTTAAAATGATTCTTGTTGGCTTTTTCCTCTTTTGACTTTTAACTGTTCATATCTACTAAGAAGAATAAAAGAAATGTCTTGGCTACCCTCAGAGTTTGTAGAATATCAAAGAAATCCTGGGCTGTTTTAAAGCAGGTGCTTAGTATGTTAGAAAATGTTATCTTTCGTGTGTGCTTTAAATGGTACAGCCCCAAGTGCAGTTGAATTTATGAACCGTAGCAGAAACTCAAGTGCAGTAACTGTTAACTGGCCTTCACCCAGAAGTCTTCTGGATGGGTACATTATTTCAATATCCAGTGAAAGGTTAACGAAAGAAGAAATCCTGCCTTCCACAAAAAGGTATGATAACATTGAAATTATGTCAAGTTACATGGAACACAAAATTAACATTATATATATATATATACATATATATATGTTTCATAAACTAAATGGTTTAATATAAATTGATATTAGAAAACTTTGCAAGAAAACTTTTTGGATTATAATGTAATTAGAATAACTGATGTGCAGAGCCAAATTTATCTCTGCAAATGGATAATGATGAATTATTTCAGGATATTGTCTTGCTTGTATGTATAATATACACTCTGATTTATATGAAATTTCTCCATGTGAGAAGATGTGATTTCTAATTAACCATTTGTGCTTAAGCATGGCACATTGTTTCCATGATAGGCAGTAAAAACCAAACATATATAACATTGTTTCTTCAGGTAGTGTGAGATAATAGCGTTTTCCCAAGTTTCTGAGCTAAAAATCTTAATATGTGACTTTTTTTTTTTTCTGTGTAGAACATTCACATTTGATAACCTTTCTCCAGGGACTGACTTTTCAGTTAGCATTATAACTACCAAGGGATTAAAGAGGAGCCATCCTATTGGCCTCATGGTTAGCACGTGTGAGTTCACTTTATATTTGATTAACTTTTCATGGGTAGAAATAAGGGGAATAGTTTTGTTTAAAGCCAATATCTAACTTAAAGTGAATGAATTTGGAACTAGTTTGTGACATGCTTGAGAAGGAGCACTGCATGGAATATGGAGAAAGCCTGAGTTATATTCCTGCCTCTATCACTTATTAGTTATGTGACCTTGGGCAAAACTACTATGTCCACACTTAGAAAATGAGAATAATCATCCCTGCCTTGGTATAAAATGTTGTTACTAAAATGAATTCAAAGTTCTTAGTGAAAGTTCAAAGTGCCCTAAATCCCAGGGCACTGTCATTATGAAATACTTGATATTTTTCTAACATTTTGACTGTATCTATAACATTTTATGAAAGCCAAACAAAACCTTGGACTATGATAAAAACAGATGGCACTGTGTTTTCAATTGCATTATTTGGGTTCCATTTGCCTCTTCTGACCTTATTAGCATCACTTACATGTATGAATATATTCAGACATGTTCCAAAGAACCCTGTCATCTGTAGGTCATAGTTGCCTGAATGTGCACGCAAGTACCAGTGCCCTAGGAGAATGAGAGGAGGCTTAATTTCAGAATTTTCCATGTGGAGGAAGGGAAAGCTCCGGCAAATGCAGCAGCAGTCAAATCAATTCCAGGGAAAGAAACTAAAAAATTCGAGCACTTATATATCAACATGGTACTATGTGCTTAAGTTTCCACATCGACTCTCCCAAGATTATCTAAAATGTAGGTTAAGGCTCAGAGGCATTCATAATTCATTATTTAAGGTGAGATTTAACCCAGGTCTAAGCTAACTGATATGATACTGCTGCCTCTCAAAAAAATCATCCTGAAAACACACACACACCAGAAATAAATGAGAAATGGCTTCACTTTTTAAAATGGTAACTCATTATTTTATATCAGTGAAGCCTTCTTAAATTTGCGTGTGTCATTATAATTGTCAACATTATCATCACCATTGTCATCATTGTTGTTTTCATCGCATTGAATGATTGTTCGTTGTCAAGCACCTTGCAAAGAATTTTTATGATTTATATCACTTAATTTTCAATGACAACCTTTATTCTATCAATCATAATGAGGTACTTTTTTTTGAAATGAGGAAAGTGGGGATTAGAGAATTTCAGTAGCTTATACATGATGACAGGGATTTGAACCCACATTTCCCACTAAATTCTATTCTTCTAACCACTGTGTTTCAGTAGAAGAGTCCCTGTGTTATTGGAAGGCCTGACTCTACCCATTCTTGGCTCTGTGACTTTGTAAAAATCATTATTCTATTTGGACCTCAAGTTCCTCATTTCTACCCTGTTTTATAATATGCTTTTAGGGTTGTTGTTCCGGCTTTGTTTTCCCTGACAATTTCACTTGTGTCTTTAACGATATATAGTTTTTTATACCACCCTGTCTTTGAAAGCCACCTCAAATCCATTTAGAACTAGATGGGATATTAAAAAATTTACAAAACAGAGCTAAAATATAATGGTAATGTGGGGTGATTAATTCCAGTAGGAAGGCAATATGCACTCTAAAAAACAAAATAAAAAGAATTGTGAATCAGCAATACAGGTTTAATTTTGAGCTGAATTCTAATAAATTAAATTAGTATGTAAGTAGGGACAAAATCTCATGCAAAATTTGAATTTATAGATGAAATTATTTGATTCCAATGAAATGTTAATATCACATTTCTTCCAATTAAGGAAAGCAATACAACATTTCAATTTGAAATATGATTTATACGTAGAGACATGTTACTGATTAGAAAAATAAATTTCTAGAACCTTCTCAGATAAAATGTTTAAAGGAAAAAGGAATTTGTGAACTTAAGGAAGGGGAAAAGGTGCATCTCTTACTTTATGCAGTGCCATAAAATTTTAAGTCAAAAATTCCAATTGTAATAACTGCACACTGAATTCTGCTATGAGAAAAATATTTTTGAAAATCCATAGTTTATATAATTTTATTGTGGAAAAAGGCTTTCTAGAAAATTATTTTTTTCCCCCTCCAATATAAAGATGAGGAGACTGGGACTCAGGGTAAACAGCTTGCATGAGATCAGATGGTGCTAAAACTGACTAGAAAAACCTGTCCTCTCTTTCATAGTGTGATAGTCCAAGGTCATCAGTCCAGTGTAGATAAGATGATGGCAGAACATTTAAAAAAATATTGCTGTGTCTTATTTTATTTCCCTAGATCCAGACCCACCATCAGACCTGCTAATTTTTGGGCAGGAAGAAAACACAATATATTTGTCTTGGAAATTCCCACAAGGAGGCTTCGAAAAGTTTCAGGTAAAGAACAGTGCTGCTGTCATAAAATCTTGATGTTTATTGAGGTCTTTATTTTGCTCCTTCTTTTTGTCCTTTGTTTTACATTAATGGTTTTAGATATTATAGTAGCATCCCTTTAATGCAGTGGTTCTCAACCTTCTGGCCTTTTAAATACAGTTCCTCATGTTGTGATCCAACCATAAAATTATTTTCATTGCTACTTCATAACTGTAATGTTGCTACTGTTATGAATTGTAATGTAAATATCTGATATGCAGGTCTTAGGCGACCGCTGTGAAAGGGTCGTTGGACCGCCAAGGGGTCGCGACCCACAGGTTGAGAACCGCTGCTTTACTGTAAAATTCTTCTCCAAAGCAATGCTTCTAAGTACTGCTTTAAAAGTACAAAGTTGTCATGGGAGGCATTCAACTTGAAGTAAAAGCTGATACTTGACTTTAAATGAGCTTGGAATTTCAATGGAGCTAGGCATGCACATACATAGTACAAAAGTAAATAAAGGAATGACGGCACTGGAGGATAATGCTTCTGTTGCAGCTCTGGCCAAAATAACAATTCTAGGAGTTAAAGCTGGGTGATGTGCCACAGGTTCCCTTTCAGGGGATATATGGATATAAAGAAGAAACAGTGTTGAGATTGATAGGAGGGGCAGAGACCCGGAATGGTTTGGTCCCACATCCATGTGGGATGGTTAAAAATCCCAGAGGAATATCTTAGCTTCATAGGTCCCCTCTGAGGAGCCAGGGGTTTCAGCCCCACACCAGGATCCCCACCTCAGGGTTGCAGTGCTGAGAAGTACCCCAAACTTCTGGCTGTGAAAACCAGCCGGGATTGTGGCTGAGTGAGCTGGAAGGCTCCTAGAGTCCTAGGTGTTTCTCTTAAAGGGCCCACATGGACTTACTTAGACTCATTCCTCTGACCTCCAGCACTGGGGCATCAGGGACATAAGGGGAGGAACTGAGTTGACTGTCTTTAAAGTGAGGGCTTGTGGGGGAAGCTTTCTTCCAGAGACCATTGTTCCTAACTCCCCCTTCCCTGCCCCAGGGCCAAGAGACAAGTGCTATATCTGATCTGAGTCTCCATCAACCTGCCTCACACTGTTCACCTCACCTGGGGATTCCCTGAGACCATGCTCTACCCAACTTACAGGCCCATTGGAGCTGTTTCCAGTGGCTTTTCTATACAAATGGCCAGTCTTGGTTCATGCTGTAGACTTTCCTAAAATATCTCAAAGGTATACAAACCCCAAACAAGCAGCATCTGGCCCCAGTGTGCCCCACATCTCTTGCTAAATAGCCCATGCCTGGCAGTAGTGGCAGCCAACATTCGTTTGTAGCTTGGCCTCTCCCATCACTTCCAAGCCCAGCACAAGTAGCATCCATCTGCAGATCACTTTGTAGCTCATGCTTGGTAGCCCTAAGCAGGGCATCAGTTACAGCTGATCCTTGCTTACACCTTCTGTGAGGCACCAGAGCCAGTAAATCCAGTGGATGGCTTCAGACCATGCTGAAACATAACCACCCAACCACCTCCACAAGTGACACAATCAAGGGGTGAACTCAGTGGACACCTGAACCCCACTGAGATAAGTCCTGTTCTGTGGGGTTGGTCTCTGTGCAGTAGATCCTCTGCTATAGTCACTGGCAGTCCTTACAGCTGATCAGCCTGGGGATAAAACACCCCCCATTGACAGCAAACAAGGCTCAACTACAATAAAAAGATGTGCACGGGCCATAGGGTGGGAAAGGAGAGTGCACCTGGAGTCCCCAGTTTAAGTGACCTGAGAGACTGTGCCATGATAAAGCTACTCTACCAAATCTGGGAGACATAGCAGCTCTACCTAATACATAGAAACAAACACAGGGAGTTGGCCAAAATGAGGAGACAAAGAGATGTTCCAAATGAGAGAACAGAACAAAACTACAAAGAACCAAACAAAATGGAAATAAGCGACCTACAGATGCAGAGTTCAAAATACTGGTTATAAGAATGCTCAATGCACTTAAGAGTAGAAAAATTTTGGGAAAACTTCAACAAAGAGATAGTAAACATTAAAATAAAGTTAGAAACATAAAAAAGAACCAGTCAGAAATGAAGAATGCACTAACTGAAATGAAGACTACATTACAGGGAATCAACTGTGTAGTAGATGAAGCAGAGGATCAAGCTGGCAATTTGGAAGAATTTAAAAAAAATAAGGACAGTTTAAGGAGCCTGAGGACAACTTCAAGCATACTATCACTTGCATCATGGGGATGGCAGAGGAGAAGAGAAAGAGACCAAAGAATTGAAAACCTATTTGAAAAAATAAAGATTGTGAACTTCCCTAAGCTAGTGAAGGAAATAGACACACAAGTCCAGGAAGAGAGTCCCAAACAAGATGAACCCAAAGAGGCCCACACCAAGACACATGATAATTAAAATGCCAATGGTCAAATACAAAGAGATAATCTTAAAAGCTTCAAGAGAAAGCAGTTAATTACCTACAAGGAAGCTCCCATAAGACTATCAGCTGATATCTCAACAGAATTTTTGCAGGCCAGAAGGGATTGGCACAAAATTTTCAAAGTGATGAAAAGCAAGGACCTCTAATCAAGATTACTCAGCAAAGCTAGAATTGGAGGACAGATAAAGAGCTTTCCAGACAAGAAAAAGGAACTAAATACCATCAAACACAGTATTACAAGACATATTAAAAGGTCTTATTAAGGAAAAAGAAGAGGAAGAAGAAAGAAGGAGGATGAGGAGGAGGGAGGAAGGAGAAAAAGAAGAGGAAGAAAAGTAAAAAAGTGAATAAAAATGCTTATTCATTTATTTTGTTTTTTAGAATCTGCATTTAAGTGAAATCATATGGCAGTCAGACATCCCTCTCACAATCCGGGACTGCTGGCTTCCAACCACTTCTGCCTGCCTGTCTGATCACCTCCTAACCACTCCCTTGCCTGCCTGATCAACACCTAACTGCTTCCCTGTCAGCCCGATTGCCCCCAACTGCCCTCCCCTGTGGGCCCGGTCCCCCCCCCCACAACTGTCCTCCCCTGTGGGCCTGGTCCCCCCAACTGCCCTCCCCTGTGGGCCTGGTCACCCCTAACTGCCCTCCCCTGCAGGCCTGGTCACCCCCAACTTCCCTCCCCTGCTGGCCTGGTTGCCCCTAACTGCCTTCCCTGTTGGCCATCTTATGGTGGCCATTTATGACCACATGGGGGCAGCCATCTTGTGCGAGGTTGTGACAGTCAATTTGCATATTACTTCTTTATTATATAGGATGGTGTCAGATGAGTACTAAATTTATTAGGGTAATCACTTCATAGGTTATATAAATGTCTAATCACTGGGTGTACATCTGAAGCTAATATAATATTGTGCATTAACTATAAATAAAATTTTTAAAAGGCATTAGCATGTGTATTACTCACTAGTTAAGTTTAAAATATTTAAAATGATATGTAAAATATTAGTTATTAAATAACCAGAGACCTGGTGCATGGATTCATGCACCAGTGGGGTCCCTCGGCCTGGCCTGTAGAGATTGGGCCAAAACCAACCCAGTTCACAGATTTGTCCTGAGCATGTGTGGCCCATCTCAACCAGTCCCGATCGGCCAGACCCCAGCAGCAAACTAACCTACCAGTCGGAGCGTCTGCCCCCTGGTCAGTGCTCATCATAGCGATTGGTCAAAAGATCTAATGAATGGTCGGACACTTAGCATATTAGGCTTTTATTATATAGGACTAGAGGTCCAGTGCACAAAATTCATGCTTGGGGCGTCCCTCAGCCTGGCCTGCACCCTCTTGCAGTCCGGAACCCCTCGCTCCTTACTGCCTGTCTGTTCGCTCCTTAGCACTGCCGTGGAGGCAGGAGAGGCTCCCATGACCGCTGCTGCACTCACCAGCCATGAGCCTGGCCTGGCTGAGCAGCACTCCCCCTGTAGGAGCGCACTGACCACCATGGGGCAGCTCCTGTGTTGAGCGACTGCCCCTGGTGATCAGTGTGCATCAGAGTAACTGGTCGTTCTGGTTGTTCCACTGTAATGATCACTTCGGCTTTTATTATATAGATAGTTTATAGATAGAGAGATACTATTATAGATCTAACTGTAAGGCTTATATAAAGTATAAAGCCTTCTGTGGCTCTCTGTTGCTGCCTAATATTATATATATATTGCTTATTGTGATCTTTGGTTCCAATGAGTGACTCCAACAGCCTTTCTAATCTTCTACTTTCCATATATCTCATACTTCCACTGAATTGTATTGCCCACCATTATGCTTATACTTTATGTTTTCCTGACTGTAGTCTTTGGTTATATTGTTCTTTTCAACAAAATTGCATTCTTTTCTATGTTTTTCTTTGGCAATTCTTCAAGACCCTACTCAGATATCATTCCCTATATAAAAGTTCCCCTTAATATCATTTATGAGTCTTCCTTACTAGAAATTTTAGTGTCATCCTTTGACAGCTCTCTTTCTTTCATGTCTATATGTACTTGTTCATGGGATTGTAGTGATTTTAACTTAGAATTATTATAAAAATATTTCTCTTCCTTTCCATTTCCATTTTATATGCCTCAGCTGAGGCCCTTACCATTTTTGTTGGCTCCTTCTTACCCTCAGGATCAAGCCAACTTTCAGAACAATTCTAAATCTGTTGAACCATAATCTCATTGCCTTTTCCTACACTTACCTTAAATTCTGACTCATATTGTAAATGCATTAGACATCTTACTCTTTCTTTGATAGTCACACCTGCTTATCTGTGAGATATATCTGTGCAGTTGTTTTTCCTCCCTTAAATGACCACTTATATATTCTTCACTCTCACCAGTTTTTGAAGGGGGAGGGTGGTGGCTTCCCAACCTATTTCTAAAAATAGTTACTTACCTTCTCTGACTCACACAACTTTATTTTTTATCTCTCTATCCCTCGCCCTTCCTCTCTGTAAAAAATCAATAAAATGTATTAAAAAAGACTGGAGGAGGTAAGATCAAGTTCCCAAACCTAAAACAAAAGGGAGGAGGGTGCTATGTATTAAGGTAT